TACAGGCACATACGGGCCCGGGCCGGTCTCTACGGGCGCGTCCTGGGCTCTGTGGGGTCGTCCGCCTTCGTTTGGGTCTCTGCGGGCTCGTACGGGCCCGTGCCGGGTTCTTCGCGCTCATACAGGTCCGTACTGAGCTCTACAGGATCACACGAGCCTGTGCTGGGCTCCGCGGGCTCATGTGGGCTCGTGCTCTGGTCTGCAGGCTCGTGTGGGCTTGGGACGGGCTCGTACAGGTGAGCGCTGGGCTCTGAGGGCTTGTACGGGCCTCTGCCGGGCTCTGAGGGCTTATGCCACGCTCTCCGAGCTTGTATGGAACTGTGCCGGGCTCTAAGGGCTGGTATGGGCTCATGCTGAGATTTACAGTCCCATCTGGGCTCGTGCTGGGCTCTGCGGGCTCATACAAGTCCATGCCAGGCTGTAAGGGCTCGTACGGGCTCATGCTGGGCTCTCTGGGCTCATACGGGCTCGTGCCGGCCCATATGGCCACGTACTTGCCTGCGCTGCGTTCTGCTGGCTCATGCGATCCTGTGCCAGGCTCTGCTGTCCCATGCTGGGCTCTGTGGGCTCATACAGGCCCGTTCTGGGCTCTCTGGGATCAGATGGGCACGGGCCAGGCTCTGCAGGCTCATACGCACCTTTGCCAGGTTCTACGTGTCTGTACAAGCCCCTGCCGAGCTCCAGGGGTTTGTACGGGCCTATGCTGTGCTCTGTGGGCTCGTTTGGGCTCATGTCGTCTTGTGCCCAGCTCTACAGGCTCATGCCAAACCCAGCCAAATGGGCGAGACACAAGCACCATTAGTTTATTCTTATCGTCATGACTGAGGCCTTTTTTCCCTCAAATAAGTAAAGACTGTATATTTCAGAGCAATGTAATTAACTTGAGGCAATTAGACGAGTCAGGGGCGACCATGCCATGTGCAGCAGGGATGGCCGCAGCGCTGGGGACGCGTCTCCTTCCCCCTGTAGGGTGCTGCAGCAGCACAGGGACATCACTTGTTGGCTGAGCCTGGTGCAAAGGGCAGCTCATGAGAGGCGCTAGCAGTGAAGAAGAAATGATTTTGAAAGGGAAATGCTTGTCACTGCTGGAAACAGCTACCGCCTGGAGCAGGTAGCAAAGTCAAAAAGATTTCCCTCCCTTCTGATCAAGTGAAATGCAGTCAGTTCCCATGGATTTCAGTACCCAGCTGGGAAATACGGAGCTCTTGCTCTTCTGCAAGGGAAACACCTTGCCAGACACTGCAGTCACCCAGAGAATGGATGAAACCACGGGAATGCCCTGAGGGGACTCATACTCACTCAGACAGGCATTATGGCAAGCACAGGTCACAGCCTGTCTGCAGAAGGTATTGGGATACCTGATCGCAGTGATTCATGCACTGCTAATGAAGGTGAGCAAAAGTAGCCTAAAACCACTGCGACCGTTAAATGGGCATTTTTCTTAGAGCTAACGTGTGAGCTGTTTAAGGGCTCGCAACAATGGGCTGTGCACCCACAATTCATGTTCATCACCACGTGCTGCACCACGGTGCCCAGTGTCCCGCATTTGTGTAGGACACAGAGAACTTGCAAAGTGCTAGCTGTTTAAGAGCATCCTGCCAAACCCATCCACGCAGGCTCATCCGTGGCCCTGAGCTTCGATGTTTTAGTCTGAAGAACTACTTTGTTCAAAACACTCTGCTAAGGACGTGAAAATGGCGCTGGCTCCCCAGAAAGAGCTAGATTAGGGGTTAAAAAGAATCATGAGGATTTAGGGAGCTGGCACCTAGAAGGCTGGGATGCAACTAGCCAGGCAGGCACTATGGAAAAGCCTGCAGTGCACAGAGCCCAGGAGTGTGGGATACCGGGCCGTGACTCCAAACATGCACATCTGAGGCAATCTTCTGTCTCCCATCTGCACAGGAAGCAGCCTTTTGCAGTGAAATAAGAGTAGCTTTGAACACAGCTTCGATATTTAAGCATGAAAATGAAGCACCTCAGTTCCTTGCAAATCTGTTTGTACAACCCTGTGATGTTAGAGAGTGAGTCAGGACCACAAATGCTACGATAAAACAGGAGGCAGCCCAGGGGCAGTTGGAACAGCAACCCCCAGTGACGAAAGCTTGGTGCTGCGGCCGAAAACTGCAACCCACACCATCCTCATGGGGATCGAGAAGTAACATGCTCAGGGTCTGGAGACACAGAAAAATAGTGCTTTAATCTACTGTTGATTTCTGCATGGAGTGATTTTTTTCTATTATTACTGATGCAGGTGTTTGTACCTTCTGCCATTTACAGCCTGAAAAGGAAGGGATGTGCAAGGGACGCTGCTCCCTCTGACTCTGCGATAAAACAGCTGTGGCTTCGACACCTCTTCCAAAAAATTGTACCCTGCAGCCAAACAGCATCAAAAGGCAGCGGCACATTTCAAAGGCTGTTTCCCAGCCCACTGGGAACAGTCTGTTTTAAACATGAAGATTTTACAAGGCCTCCAAATGTGCAGTAATGGTAGAATAAAAATGTCCCGAAGCCACTGGGGCATTTCTTGCTGCAGCTCTGCAGTGACTTTTACGCTGTGGCTTCGTGGTGACTTTTTGCTGCCCCTGCTGGAAGCTTTTCCTTTATAGGGAGCAGCCGGGCTCAGCTACTGCTGGGAAATAACAGAGCTGAAGTTAAATGCTTGCCAGTGTGGGAAGGATGCCATGTCCACGGTGGAGTTTAGGTGAGGTGACACATGTCCTGAGGAGCACCGAGTACTCTAGGAATAAGAAGAAAATGATCTAATCTTGCTGCGTGGCGCTGTCAGACTTGTTTAAAGTGGTCAAGCTCAGGCAGGGACACAGGGAGGGCAGAAGCGACAACTTCAGCCACTGCCACCCTGCAGCCCTCTCCCAGGAAAGGAGTTGTCCATGCCTCATGCACATCTCACAAACCTACCCAACACCTTCTGACTTCTCACAGCGCAAACCACTGTGGGTCCCACACGCTGGGGCTACTCCTTGGGTGCAGTTCTCAGCTACCCTGACCGTACACCCAGTCCTCTTCCCTTTGCAGCGCACAGCTACCAGAAAGCCTACTATAAACAAAGGGTTATTTGTTTAGGATCAAATCAAGCCATCAAAAAAAATAATAATAATCTGAATAATAAATATGTTTTCCAAATTGAAACCTGACACCTGCTCCAACTTTCTACTGGGGATTTAAGCCTCGGTGTCACTGTTAGAGGTGCTGCCACGTGAATTTCCCTTTAGCATGAAATACCAATTACTAAATAAACGCAACATCCTTCCTAGGTATCGTTTTTAGAAACACAGGAGCAAACAGTGGTGGGAAGGCCGGATGAGAGAGTGGGCGATGGTGACTGGCTGCCCCTGGGCGAACGGAAATGAAAGAAGGAAGCAATCATTTCCAAAGTGAAACAGGTTCCCTCTGTGGGCAGAAGTGCCCACATCCTCTGCCTACTTGACCCAACTTCCTTCAGCCAGTTCCTTGGCCGAAGGCGTTAGTGTCTCCTCGTACACAGCAATGTGAAATCAGGGCCCTAGAGATCAGCACTGAGCTATCGCTGACCAGTAAGAAAAAAATCTGCTTCTCAGACTAAGTAAGAAAATATATTCCATGGGATTAGAATTTACTATCCAAAAAGCTGCTTTTTAACAGAGAGTTTAAATTAGCCTCTGTGGCTTCAGAGAGGTGTCCCTTACCTCCACACACACTGCAGTGACTGCCACCATCTCCAGCTCCTTCCAGCTCTACCCCATGCATGGCAAATGCTACCACAGTCTACCGGGCCCTAAACTCTATGCAATGACATTTGCTGCTCTTTACACACCACCAGACAATCTTTCTGGCTTTGCCTTACATATCCTGCAAGAGGTTTTCAAAAGCCCCAGAAGAAATCTTTGCTGCCGGCTAGGAGGCAAAAGTTGCAGATTTGCACTGCCCTCCATGCTGAGGAAGTGCCTAAGAAATAGCAGCAGAAGCTTCACCTGGAAATGCTGGGAGCCTGACTTTCCCCACAAGTCTTCTGGCCCCAAAACACCTTCCCAAATCATCTCTAATTCCCAGCTATGAGGGATGAGGCTGAAAGATTTAGAATAGCCCCCAAGGAGGGAACTTTTGATGTCCCTTACTACTGTCGCTCTCGTAATACGGTCAAAAAGATCATCAGATTGTAACTGCTGTAGAGGGAGATGTGAAACGTTGCCCAGGCCAAACTCACTTTTGTGCTGAAGAGGTTTTCTCAAAAAGCATTTGTAAAAGTGAAGCACTTCATGGTTTTCAGAGGGAAGCAATGACTCCTGGCTAGCACAGCCTGCTTCCCTTCCCCAGCGTAATCCGAGTCCCTGCAGTTCTTCCAGGAACTGAAAAGGAGCTGGGGAGGTGGGAGGATAAACAAGCTCAAATAGCATATCACGGACCTCGTTAATAAAAATGTAAATGGGACTGTGCAAACTCTGGGGGCTGCTATTTTCACAAAGTCATGGAAGATCGGGGAGGTTGGTGCGATCCAAAATTTTTAATGAGGCAGCTGTGTGCATGACACATTAGCTACACCAAATGGTGCA